CGACTATATGATTATCAAAAAAATGGTGAATGTTTTTAACAATAAAGAACTGAGTTTTTTTGGGTTAAATTTACAAGCCAATACATAACCCAAGTTGCATGGCCGACGACACGGGTTTCGAAGTGGTGAGACATAATCTTTACTTCTAAAAAAAGCCCTTTATATCTAGAAATTTCTCTAAAAAAAAAAGGCAGTCGTTATCTTTTTTTTTTTTTTTTAGAGAAAAAACCGGTTGGCCTTGAGTTGTCAAAGAAAAGACATCAAAGCCGAGATCAGCTATCTATTCTAAGCAATTTAAAAGTGATGACTAAAAGTGATGATAGTTAAGACTGAGTATAAATTGCGTCATCCGCGAATGTAAATAAAAAATAATACCGGCCCAAGAATGGAACTTTGTTGCAACCCAGAAGTACATGAAAATTAAGGTGAGTGTTGGCCTTCGAGGATGACTTTAATACTTTGATTAGAAAGTGATTTGATAATCTTAAAAAGTAATCACGATAAAGAACTAGTACTTCTCACTCTCTATGTGGTTATACTAAATAAAATGTTATTTCTCCACACAATGTCTTAAAAGCATTCTCAATGTGGAAAACCTGATCAGATACTTTGAAGTTTGAATACAGTTGTTTTTCAGTCTGGTTCTAACCATTATTATCGCCTGAATTTAAAAATATTTCAAATGCACATGCTTTAATTGGAGACAGTAATTACATTATCACATATTAATTCATAATCAAATTTATTCCATTTATTCCACAACATGCTACAAAACTTGTCCTTTAAATGAAAATTTTCAAACAAACATAGCACACAAGGACATGTACATACATGTGACTTCAGTGCCATCAGAATTCGCTTTCTCGACTGCTACGCATGTGGTTAATTGACGGCGTGCATTATTGGCACCCAAAACAATGAAAATGCTAGTTTTCACAAACTGTAGTTAGGACTTATACAACCCTTTGAAAACTTACTTATGTGACCCTTGAAAAACTTACTAATGTAACCCTTGGACTAGTAAAGTTTAGAAAAAGAAGATTATTAACTTTTAAAAAATATATACTTTGTAAAAGGGTACCCGGGTACCCTCCCGGTTTGTTTGAAGAGTAGCCGGGCAGGTATTTTCATAATTTTCGACAGCCCTAGTTTCCAGTATTTAATCTGAACTTCGTAACACCATTCTGAACAGTTTTTCATTATACTGTTTTTTAGTTTGCTTTAGTGTCTTAAGTATTTGAAGTGTCTTTTATTATTATTATTATAATATTAAATAAAATTGTTTTTAATAAAATATAAGTTGCCTAGTTTGTTATCAAATTTGAACAACATTTTAAAATTGTAAATAGAAATGAACTTCTTGAGAACTTTATAACAAAAAAATTATTTAAAATTGTTAGAAGTTCATAAATTTTCATTAAAATACTATAGAAGTTCATAAATGTTCATTAAAACTTGTTACAAGTTCATTAATGTTAATTAAAATCTGTTAGATGTTTATTAATTTTCATTCTTTGTAAATAAATTCATTTTCTTGTAAAATATTGTGGTATTAATATACAGAGTGGGCCATAAGTAAGATACTGAAAAAGTATAATTATATCAACAAACAAAAAGAAAATTAGCCAATCACATTGCATTAATTTTTTTAATATATATAAGTAAGTTTATAAAAGTACCATTATTAATTTCTGTTTTTAGACAATGAGTGGAAACCGCTATTCGTTGGAACAAAGAATATGCATTGTAAAGAATCATTATTTGTTTTAATTTCCAGTATCAAATCAACGTGCTTGGCGTAAAGAATTTAAAATTGCAGCTCCTTCATCTTTATGTATTCGTGAATTAGTTGCCAAGTTTGAGAACACTGGAACAGTAAAGGATGGTAAATAAACAGGACGCCCAGTCAGCGTGACCACAGATGCTAAGAAAGAAGAAATCAAACAACATTTTCAAGATTGTCCAACAACATTAACACATTGTGGTTCATTGCAACTCAAAATAAGCAGTTCATCTTTGCGTCAAATTCTCAATAAGCTGAAACTAAGTCTTACATAAATTAATATTCATAAATTAAATGAAGATGACTATAATCAACGTGTCAAATTTTGCAAAAGAATGCTAGCAGTTTGTGAACAAAGTTATGACATTCTTGATTCAATAACTTGTTCAGATGAAGCATTTTTCAAATTTAAATGGCTCTGTTAATCGACACCACAGTGTTTATTACAGCACTGAAAATCCGTTCTTTTTTGAAGGGATTGTAACAGCTCAAATCTATCTTTCAATGCTGTCAGACTATCTATGGTCTTCAATTAATAATCAACAAAAACAAGAATTTATATTACAACAGCCATAATGAATTTATATTACAACAGCCATAACTATGCCAATCTCGAACTATCAAAGCATAATGTGGCGGAGCCCCATTATGCTTTGGTAGTTCGAGATTGGCTAGACTTTAATCCAAACAGATAGACTTTAATTCCAAACAGATGGATTTAGCGCCGCGGAAGTTTCTGGGAGTGGCCTGTAAGATCCCCCAATCTCACACCTTTAGACTTTTTTCTATGAGGTGTAATGAAAAACAAATTTTATTCTGTTCCAGCGGAATATTTTGATGAGTTGAAATTGTGCATAACAGAGGCTTTTAAAGAAATTTCACCAAAGTTATGTAAAACTGTGTGGTATTCGTTAACTGATCGTTTGGCAAAATGTATTGAATTTAACAGTCAACAATTTGCTTTGATTTATTTTGATTTTTCTTTATATTAACATAAACTTACTGTTCTTACAAGTTTAATAATAATAATAAAAATAAAAACAATAATAATAATTTGTATTAAATTTTAAATTGTAAAATGGGTGCATGGTGGAAATTTCTTATCAGTAGCCTACTTATGGCCCATCCTGTACTTTGTTTAAAAATCAATTTAGTAAAACTTAACGATTAAAGTTCGGTGTGCTTTAAATTGAACCACCGTTTTTTTATACCCCGTGAACTCAATCACTCATAAATGAAGCATTTAAGCTATTTCCACAAAGTATTTGTTTACAATATCAATGTATTAGCAATTTTATGGGGAAAATGTGAAATATTTATGATATTTAAAATTTTAGTATGTTAGCATTATTTTAAAATGATCAACAACGTATGCATAAATAGATTTAGCTCTTTTTTTAAAATATCCTCAGTAATAAAAATTCATTTTAATAACCATATTAGTTAAGTTATTAAAACTTTATGTAAAAAAACTTTATGTCAAAATATTACAGATCATAAAAAAGTATGCAACGCATCCTTCAACTTTGCATATAAAGATAATTTTTGTTTGTCACCAATTTTTTTGATTACAATTAATTGTCTACTTTAACTAATTAGAATTTTTAGCTTTTTTTAGTTTTTGCTAGAAAGCTTTTTATACAGTGAGTTAATTTTTACTTCTTTTTTTTTTTACTATCAAAATTCACTATCAAAATTTACTATCAAAAGATTCTTTTTTTTTTGACATTTATTTTTGCAAACCAAAAAAGTGCAAACCAAAAAAGTGCAAATCAAAAATCTGTGGTCACACAGTTGAAAAAATCTCCTCAATATATTTTTAAAGTTAGCAGCTGTTCTTCACAAAACTGTTCAAAGTTTTTATTCTGCGAAAAAAATTTTCCAGATGTTATATCAACAAACTCTATGGCAGCTGAAAACGATGCTCCATTTGTATTTCCCGACAAAAATAAAACTATAATTCATATTATAATTTGTCTAAATCACGTCATAGTTTGTCTAAACAAGCCTAAAAGACAAGAAGACAATTTAAAATGTGAAACTGGTTTACTAAATATAGGCTTTTAAAAGAGTAAATTAGATTCAGCTTTGTAATTTTGCTTTCAAAATATTTGCCACCAATACCCTGGCAAATATTTAAGTGTTGATAATCACCATTTTTAAAGATAGATGAACAATAAAAAACGTGATTAAAAATGTATTAAATTATTTTAGAAGATTTATATAAACAATTTTTTCTCAAGATATTTAGAATAGAAGCTAAAATTTTATACTTAAGTTAAAATTTTAACGGCTATGTTGTCGAAATTAATAAAAAAAATTTTAACTTTGTTATCATCAGCTACTTAATTAATTCAAATAAATGGAAAGTTTTGTGGTTGATTTTTTTTTTAAATTTTTCACTTAAACATTTTCTATTTTAATAGTAACTTTTTTAACGTTGATGCGCTTTACCTCCAAACCTTCTTACTTTTGTTGAGTTATACATCAAAATGTTGTATTATATATTTTTTATATAATACAACATAAATGTTGTATTTATATTTGTATATAAGTAGTAGTACATTTAAGTATTATCAGCATTATAAAATAAAAGTTTGAAATAAAGAGTAGGTGCGTCAAATGTCCCGGAATTCTAAAAAAGATCTCTTTTTTCTAAAGAATTTGATCGGTTTTCATTAAGCACGCGGTAATGCGGTAAAATCGATATTTAGATAAGAAATCAGGAGCGCTTAGTTACGAATGCGATATTTAGTTAGGTAATTGCGATGCTGTCGTTTTTATAGAGCAAATCTTATGACAATTTATTGTTAGTTAATTTTTATAGAAAAAATAAGTGCAATTGGATGCGATTTATCGTATAAATGAAAAAAAATTGCTTTTTTGCAAACCGCCAATGCGGCAACACCTACAGTATTGGACAAAACATTTGCAACCAACATATATATATATATATATATATATATATATATATATATATATAAATATATATATATATATATATATATATATATATATTTGATAAATGCAACTAAATCAGTCATTAAACTCTCATCAAAACATTTAATTAAATATAAGATGAAATAATATAATTAAAATGGTCCATTAGAAGTGAAAATCACTTTATTATGTTAAATGCATTGGGAGTTTAAAAGATATGTAAAAATAAGTTATATAAACGTAGTTCTTTGCCATAAATTTTTAATATTATTTTTAGGTGACCAAAAAGAACTTTTTGACACTGGAATTAAAAAGAGCAAGCCGTTAATTGCAAACGTGCCTACAGGTGAGTTAGCATTATGTAGAGATGATGTAACAGTGTTTCTTCATGTTGATAAAGAAAGTGAATATACTGATAAATTTACTGTTACTTGGTCTGACAACCCACTTGCGTTAGAGTTTATTCATGTTTATATAATTGCTGCACTACCTAAGTGCGTTGAAATTTGTTCTTTCAATTCAAGACGTGTTGTACAAAGAATAGAAGCTCCTAATGCAACAACTATTGTTGTTGGTGGTGTTGGTGTAGGTTCTTACTGCTATATTGCATCACTGTCACATATATGGAGGTATGTATGAGTGTGTCTAATACATGAATTTAAGTAGATTTATGTCAGTACAGTCATTAATGATGCAATATTAAATTAGTAGAGGACTTTAGGATATCAACTGATGAATTTAGGTACGGGCAGGTAATATCTATGCGACAGACAATGATTTTATTATAGCGTCGTTAATAAAATTTGCTTTTTTTCCGTCAATATGCACACGTTTCACGATGCTATTATTACAGTTATCTTATGTATATATATACATATATATTTTTACAATTTGACAGGGGCAATAAAAACAGCATGTCTTATCACTATGCGTTTTGTAAAATAAAAAAAGATAAGAAATACAAGTTTACAACTTCTTGTATTTTACAAAATTGTGAAAAAGTTTAAGAAAAATGTATAAAAATAAACTGAAGTTTATAAAATAAAAAAAATTAAACAAAAATAATGCAATTTGAATAAAAAAATAACTTTTATACTATACAACTAAAAAACATTATACTTTATAACTATAAAAATTTATAACTATAAAAAAGTTATCTTTTTGTAGTTACTAGTTCGTTATAGGAGATTTATTTATTTTTATTTTAAGTTTATATATATATATATATATATATATATATATATATATATATATATATATATATATATATATATATATATATATATATATATATATATATATATATATATATATATAGAGAGAGAGAGAGAGAGAGAGAGAGAGAGAAAGAGAAAAAACGGCATATTCACATTTAAAACGTTTTGTGAAAGTATATATTAATTATTTATGTGATAATGCACTTTCTTCCCACTCTTCATATCTAAAATGCAACTCCATTTTAAGTTTTACTTTTTTATTAGTGTATAGTAGCCTATTATGGGGAGAGTTGCTAATTTGGGTGGTAACGTTTGTCGCATATTAGTCTACATGGTTTATTTTTGTTTTGTGCGGTATGAATTTTCAGCTTGCAAATATAACAATTTGAAATAAAGATTAAAGTAAAAAGCTCGTAATTTATCATCTGGTCATGTGACCGGGGCAAGATAACTTATTATGCAATTTTTACCTTCTATTTTATAAAATTTTAAAAAATACCAATAACTCTAACTAAAGTAATAAAAAATAAACACAAATTGCAAAAAACTACTTTCAAAGAATTTAAACTTGAAGGACACCATCCATTATAAGAAACCGAAAGTGAGGAATTTTTTTTAAGCGCAAAAAATAAACTTAAGCGTATGAAATTGCGTTAATAAAATTTAAAAAAACCAGTTGGTGTTTTGAAATACAAGATGCAAATACAGTTTCGTTTTCACCCAATTTAAAGGCTTTAAATTTTATACAGCTCTAACTTTCATTTAGACATAAAACTTTATTATATTCTTTTTTTAAAAAAGACCATCAATAATAGAAAATAGAATAAATTGGGCATTAAATAAAATTTTTATATTTCCTGCTCATATTGTTACTTCCTTCTTTTATTTTTTTTAGACTGTGTCTAGAAGATATTAGAAAGCAAATTGACCAGTTGATTAAAGACGAAGATTATGAAATGGCACTAAAACTTACTGAACTCATGGATGAAGGAGGTGATAAGAAGAAAATTAAAATAAAGCAAATTAAAAAGCTGCTTGGTTTTTCACAATTCTGTCAAAGGCAGTTTGAAGAAGCTATAAAACTATTTTTCAGCATTGATGAAGATCCTGTATTTGTAATGGGATTATTCCCAGATTTGTTACCTGAAATGTTTCGCAAACGTATAAAATATCCATCAACTCTTCCATACCTCACTGATGGAGATTTAGAAAAAGGTGAGTTTGCACATTTTTTTAAATAAACAAAATACTAAATAAAACGTTAATAATAGAAAAATATAAAACATAAAAAGAAACTGAAAACACTAAATTCAATCCATCAAAGTGCTATTTGCATAGTTTTTAAAAATTCTAGACCCGATTAAGGGAAGTACAATATGACGTAAGAACAAAAATAATTTAGTTGTTAAAATTTAACGTTTAATTTGAAAAATGTATTTGATGACTTTTTATTTTTGTTAGTTATACTAACTTGAAAGTTAGGTAAAATAAAATAACTATAATTATAATACATAATAAGAAATAAACTTAATTACTGTCTTAATGTTTTTTGGAACCTTTTTTCCCTTCTAGGAAAGTTTTGAATACTTGATTTTTCTAAAAACAAATTACGTGTAGGGGAGAGGTGCCTTAATTGTAAAACTTTAGGAATAAATATTTATCAACGGAAGATGGCTTAACTATGAAAACATTTATAATTTGATTAATAATAACAGACAACTCTTCTATATTTTTAACCATAATTTAACTTAATTGATAGCACTGTTATTGGAAATAAATTTGTTTTTGCAAAAATATCATTTTTCATTCCAATTAAGGCAACTAGTTCTCTAAGTTGAAATACTTTGATTTCTTAATCAGAAAAAGTTGTTGTTGTTTTTTTTTCAAAAAAAAGAAACTCAGTAAAATTAACAAAAATTGATTTAAAATGATTTTTATCTTTAAAGTGAAAATTTAAACAGTTAATTCAAAACTTATATTTGGATTAATGTTACCCTGACAAACTGTCTACAAACAAAAAATTGTATAAAAGCTTCAACTGTCCTGATGTTCTCTTAATTTATTGATTAAAAATCACTAAATAATGTGTTATGTTTAGGGTTTATAGTTGTTACTAAGTATTTTTAAATTGCGCTTGAACTATTTCCGACCCTTTGATTTTGTCACTGATTCAGTAAGGAAAAGTTTGAAGTTCCAATTAAGAAAACTTTGGACTAGTTTTCTATATCACTGCAGCATCATGCTTGCAGCAACTTATACGATAAGTTTATATTGTTGTTTTGGATTTTAAATCTCATCGAGTTAAACACAAAAAACCATATAACTTATAGTCGTATAGTTTACCGAGCGCAATCAATTTTTTTTTTTTTTTCGATTTATTTCGCCGTTTAAAAATAGTTACAATAACCAGATAATATAGTTACAATTATATGTATATATATATATAATTACAATAACCATAAGCGAATATATATTTACATTTACATTTGGCAGCAACAACGGCAGGACTTCTTGAAGATCATGAGGATCTTACCATGAAGCCCTTAAAAAATATAATACATTTACACTTTTTCAATACAATTTTAATTAAAAATAAACTGTTCGTAATGAAATAATTCATCTTTTTATAAAAAACTTAGTAATTATTAGTCTAAAACAAAACAATATACAAAAATTAGGGATGTATCGAAGCTTCGGCTTCGGCACTTTTGCCGAAACTGCGACTTCGACCGAAGCCAGGGTCAGTTTTTGCCGAAGCATCGGCTTCGGCGAATTTTATTTAGATAATTAAAGGAAATAAGCTACTGTTATATTAAACATAAAATAATTTTGTTGTTTACAATAAAATTACTTTACATTACAATTCTATTACTAGTAATTTTCTTCTTTACTTTGATTCTTGACGTATACCGCAGCATACATAGTATAAATTGCGACGTGCCGCAAACTATATAGTTAATTTTTTTAATTAAACTTATTGGGTGTTTAATTTAAGTTCTATGTATAATTTTATTACGTTGTTGTATTTACTGAAAGCTATTTTCACTATAATTTGTATTTAGTTTGTTTGCACTTGAAACGTACGCTAGAAAATTTATTTCTTATCACCACTCAAAAACATGAATAATTCATGGTTTTATAATTACAGAAGCAGATAACCTACAGAAAATCAATGGTAGCATGCTGACATAATTGTATCATACTGAAACACTTTAAAAGCGCTACAAAAGGTAAGAGTGCAGATACATCAGAGATCATACCGTTTCTTGACTATGCTTGGGACAAATCAACTGGAATCAAAACTGTTGATGCTTTACTTAAAAGATTTTAAAAGTCATTTTCATTAATACAAAGATAATGTTTGTTTGAAAAAATCAAATTTGCTTAAACCCCGTTTCAAATGAAATTTTTTGAAGAAACAGACCATAGAATTCTTAAAGAAATTTTATATCAAGGCTATAATCGCTTTTATTTAGAGAATCGATATTCTAAATGATAGCGATAGTACCCTTATATAAAATTTAAAATATAAAATTTGCTTGCTTGTTGTAAATGATCATTTACAACAAGCAAAAGAAGTTGATTTTGTTAAAGACTCTGATCGTGACGGTCAAATCAAAAAATATATATATATATATATATATATATATATATATATATATATATATATATATATATATATATATATATATATATATATATATATATATATATATATATATATATATATATATATATATATTTAGACCAAATGTGTATAAATGAGAATGCTTCACAGAAATGTGAAAACACTGATTGAGGGGGAAAAAAGTATAACAGTAAAAATCGTAGAGTAAAAACTCAAAATTTAAAAGGAAAATGGTACGAATAAAAAATATCTAAATAAAATTGATATTTTTTAAATTGATTTCAAATTTAATTAAAAATTGATGTTAACTTTCAAATTAATTATTTTATTGCACTCAGCCCTGTAACTAGAAATTTATTTACAAGTTTAGTTGCACACCAGAATTGCCTGTAGACAAAATTATTTATATTTATATTATAGAAAGATTACTGCGAGAAGACATAAGCTATATACAGGCAGGCCGTGTCTTCCTGTAGTTACGGATATGGTTGCATTTAATATTTTTAGTTTTCCATGCACAACATAACTATTTATCAACTATAAATGTTTATTCTTTATTATTTATAAGTTGAATAAGGGTATTCTTGATTAAAAATTTGGAATATAAGTTTAAATTTTAAATTGATTTATAGCTTTGATTCAACATGGAGGAAGTCAACTTCTACTTTAGCCTATCAACATTACCAAAAAATAAATGTCCAGATGAATAACGAATAAGTGGTGGGGTGTTTACAATTACACCAGCTCCTATAAAGACACTAATAAGTGGGATTTAGCAAGGTTTTCAATGAAAATATTGTGCGCACCTCCGTTAAGAGTGAACCTCTGTCAACACAACGAGAAACATATTTTAACCCAAAAGAAACAGTCTGTTACCTGAGCATGGAGAACAAATTACGTTTTTAAATTATAACTTGCCTGATTATTAACAATAGATAATTAATTTAAACGCAATAAACTAATAAGTATGATAAAAATAACTTCCCTTATTTGTAATTAGTAATTTTATAAATAGTAATTTTGTTATACTTCAAAGTACAAACGAAATGTAAACTAAACATTGTTTGTAATATAATTTTAAAGTTTAGACTTGATTAAGTTGACAAGAAGCTAAATTAGTTTTATAATTCACACCTTAATTCAACTACTAACTAGTAATTACTAATTAGCTAGTAATCTTTTTTTTCTTATAACATTAAACTTGTTCAAACAAGGCTTAGGTACCATCCTAAAAAGATATGACGTTGTGTAATTAAAAAAAACCTTGATGATTTGTTATAGTAAAATACCTTGTGCGCTAAAATGCTTATAATTGCAGTACATATATTTTGCAATATGCAGTACATAAAATAGTTGGAGTAAAATGTTAAAAAATTTTTAAAGCAATTAATATTATCTCTAGATAGCTAAATCTGCAAAACAACAAATTTTACCTACATAAGTGCAAAAGCTTCGGCTTCGGCAGAGTAACTTCGGCCGAAGCTTCGGCTTCGACAAAATCGTAGCTTCGGTACATCCCTAACTAAAGTTGTTAAAAATAGATGAGAATATTTTCTCATAAAAGGATAATCTTTTTAAGTTTCTGTTTAAATGAAGCATAAGCCATTTTAGTAGAAAAATCAAAATTTGGTAAAACTATTTTGTTCCAGAGATAAGGTCCTCGATAAGAAACAAAAAGCTGGTCTTTTTTTGATGGCAAAAAGGGGCAATAAGATTGTTATTAGTGCGAAGATTATATTTGTTTTTCGGTTTCAAATTATAAACATTTTTAAATACAATGGTTGACAGATTTTCTCTACATTTAAACATAAAGCACAAAACATTAAAAACATTTAGGTACACATTCAAAATATTCATTTCTTTAAAAAGTTGTTTTGTGTGAGAAAACCGATTTTTAAAATTTATTACGCGAACTGCGTGTTTCTGACGAAGGTAAAGAGATTTAAGCTTTGTCTTATGGGTGCTTCCCCATATACTATTTGCATAGTTTATATGACAAGGAATAAATGAATAATAAAATTGTTTTAACTGATGTTTACTTAATATAATTTGAACATAAAATTAGATCACCAAAAAGAAATGAAAAAAACTTCCAAATTGTGCCAAACGTTGAAAATAAGGCGTTTTACTAAAAAAATGCAAAAAATAGCCATAATTCATTTTTTTTTCAAAAATAAATTCAAGTGTTCCAATTCAGGCGCTTTTCTAATTATGGCAACTCTCCCCTACACGTACACATAATAAAAAATCTTATTTGAAAGCAAAATATCTATTTGTAACTATAAATAGATTTTTGCTTACAAATGAGATTTTTTATTATGTGTACGCGTTTGGAAGAATCGCTATAGTTACCGAGTGTATATCGGCGTAGTCATTGTATGTAGTGCTGTGGATGTAGTGCTGTGGATTAGTGCTGTGGATGTAGTGCTGTAGATGTAATGCTGTGGATGTAGTGCTGTGGATGTAGTGCTGTGGATTTAGTGCTGTGGATGTAGTGCTGTGGATCTAGTGCTGTGGATCTAGTGCTGTAGATGTAGTGCTGTGGATGTAGTGCTATGGATGTAGTGATGTGGATGCAGTGCTGTGG